GAATTAGGAGCCTCAGAAGCCACTGGGAGAAGCTATTTCGAAATGGCAGGAGTGGAGCATCCACATGACTGCGCTTCCCGAATAGCTATTTCAGAAGAGGCCTTATTCCTCGTGGAGCGAGGTTTACAGAAGTCGGACTAAGCCGTCTGGTTTTGCAAAGTTATTTCGAAATCACGGAATGGCAGTGTAGACGCTCACATTGAACGCGGCTTGAGTCTGGACGCAGGGGAAGTTTTTTCGGGAAAAGGCTACTTTTCCCGAAAAAACCCCTGAGTCTGGACACAGCCAGTGTGAACAGTGGAGGGGGTGCGGGGGGGGCGCGAGGTTCCAGGGACATTTTTTTTGCCAGTACAGATATCACTTGTGAATAATTTTAAACAATTGACTCCTGTGCTCACCAATGATGATTGTGAAGCTTGGTGGAGGAAGGGGTGTAGCTGGGCCGGGGGGTGGAAGTTTTCCCCGCTCCGCTCACCCCGTGCTCTCACCAAGGAGCAGGCTTGGTGTGTGGGGGTTGCTCTCTCCTATCTATCCAGTGTTCCCGTCGGGGTTTGTCCACTCCCTATCTTGAATGCCGGGCAAGCAGGGTGAACATTGTGTGGGCGGGCGGAATGGGGTAAAGCAAAGAACCTCACACCACAACATTGCACCACTTTAAACGAGTGTGTTCTTTAATAGATCCACAACATAAGAACACAAGAACAGCCACACTGGGTCCGACCAAAGGTCCATCTATCCTGTCTGCCGACAGTGGCCAATGCCAGGTGCCCCAGAAGGGCAGAACACAACAGGTACTTGTTATCCCTTTCCAGCAGGATTTAGAACCGTTAACAACAACTCTCTGACTACGGTTATCCAGCCAATTATGCACCCACCTTATCGTGGCCCTATCTAACGGCTACATAAGTAAACAAAGGAAATTTAATAATCTGAAGAAGTGAGCTGTGCCCACAAAAGCTCATGATACCATCTGCATGTTTTGTTCGTCTTTAAGGTGCTGCAAGACTATTAGTTGTTTTTTATTTTTTTTTCTGTTACAGACTTACTCAGCTACCTTCTGAAAGTTAACTGGTACAACCTTAAGCAAGGAGCTACTGTAGAACTTTTTTTATTCGCAGCATCTTTGGGGCAACTTTCTTTTTGTGATTAACCTGGAAAAAACATTTTTTCACAGTTCTGAGCTGAAAAAAAATCAGTATTTGGCAGTTTGGGGCTTTTTTTTGGGAGGGGGACAGCTTTGGGGCAAATGTTTTTCAGGTTTTGGCTGAATATTTTCTTTATATTCATCTGAGCATTTGAAAATAAAACAGGGTGGCATTTTCTTTTAAGTCAACGTTTTCTGGGGAGAAAACAAAAAGCCCAAATGCCCAGGCAGTTCCAGTATTCGATCCTCTTCACAGGAAATAATAACACAAGAAAATAAAGTGAATCCCCTTGTTAAAAAGGATCCGCATTCAGAGGGTTCACACAGCCACCCTGAGCAAAAGGACTGTAATCCTTGTCAGACAAACCAAACAGCTGCTTTGTTCAAAGACTGGACAATGGAGCCCTCCCAAGCCACAACAAGGAGCCGAAACACTGCTCCCCCCGCCAGATCCCTTACCTCCACGCTCAGGATCTGCAGCTACCTTGCCAAAACTCCCTGCCAGCCTTCTACAAGGTGTTGCCTTGCAACCTGCTTATATACCTGCCTCGCCTCGCACACCTTCCCCGTTCCCAGCTCGTTCCCAGATTGCAAAAGGAGATATAGCTCCCGTTCCACAGCATTCCCTTATATACCTGCCTCGCCTCGCACACCTTCCCTCTTCCCACATCTTTCCCAGATTGCAAAAGGCGATATAGGTCCCATTCCACAGCATTCTCCGTACGCCTGTTTGAAACAATGTTTCCCTGATGAAAGATCTGTCTCTGTGCTGAGCGGAGGAGGTGTTTCTACCTGATTCCCCGGAGCACCGGAGGATGCAGGCTCAGCAGAAGTTGTGGCCACGGTTTATAAACACCAGACTTTATACCCAGTGCCAGGGAAAGCAGGGCCGGAGTCAGCCATACTGAGGTCCTAAATGATGTCATGTTTAAGAGGCCCCCACCGCATTGTCCCCGAAAATGTGCATGAGTCCAACTGAAAGGAGAATGGAAATAGAAACAAAAAAACTGTATATTTGCATCTAGGCCGGTACATAAGTGAGGCTGTAACTAAAAATGAGTCTTTTTTTTATTTAGAGGCCCCTCATAATCAGAGGCCGTAAACCAGCGGTGGGGAAACTTTTTCTGGGAGGGGGGGTCCCTGGCCCACAGAAAAATCAGTCGGAAGCAGCACACAAATGTGAAGCAAGAAAAAAAAAGCAACTCTCACTCATGTGGCCCCCAATTGAGGGTAGAAAGACACTCCCCACATTCCCCCCCCCACACACACCTGTGCCTGGAGAGGGGGCAGGTGAATAGGTATTGTATGCCCCAGTCCTGCAGTGGGGAAAGGGGTGAGGCTGGAGCACCAACACAGGTGGGGGGGAGCTTTGAGCCTCGAGGGCCAGATCCAAGCAAGCTGGGAGCCACATCCCCTGGGCCTTAGGTTCCCCATCTCTTAAGCCAGTATTATTCAATTTTTTTTATAAAGTAGCCCTTTAAAAATATTATAAGGACCCCCAGTACCTACAGTTTTCAGACACACACATTTTTTTTCTACCATTGCAACACATTTGTTTAAACAACTTAATCGTAGCCGGGCAGGCAATGAAAAGTTTGGGTGTAAAAAGTACAAAAATAATCAAGCCCTGTAAAACTTACAACAAAAATTCCGTTTTCTGCAAATTTCAGACGTACCCCCCAGACTTCTCTCGAGTACCCTTAAGGGTACTCGTACCACTGATTGAGAAACACTGTCTTAAGTTACAGCGTATTTAGCTTGTGCATAAACCCAGCACTGGCTTAAAGCCAGACCCCTTGCCCCATCTATGCTGCCTCCCCCCAGCAGAGTGAGGGTCAGGAGCAGAGCTGTGTTTCCAGCTGGGGGGAACGATATGGGATGGGGGGGTCAAGGCTGGGGACACAATTGAGGCTGTGGGAAAGAGGCCAGCTCGGACCTCGGGAGCAGGACCAGGAGTGGAACCCTAGGAGCAAGGCTGGCAGCTGAGACCTCGCATGGGGCCAGCAGCTGGAACCCCACATAAAGGGCCAGAAGCACAGCTCCAGGTGCAGGGCTGGGAGCCAGGACCCCACATTTGGGTCTGGGAGAAAAGAGCTTGCATAAAACCACAGCACCCCCGCATCCTGAGATCCTGCCCCTATGCACAATCCAGACCTTGGAGTATTTTCCTGGATTCACACAGCTCCTTCCATGAAAGTCTGATCCGACCTCCCCTTCACAGAAACACAGAACGGCTGCCATATGAAGAGAGATTAAAAAGCCTTGGACTTTTCAGCTTAGAGAAGAGGAGGCTAAGGGGGGAGGATATGACAGAGGTCTATAAAATGATGACCAGTATGGAGAAAATAAATGAGGAAAAGTTATTTACTTGTTCCCATAACATAAGAACTAGAGGTCACCAAATGAAATGAATAGGCAGCAGATTTAAAACAAAGAAAAGGAAGTTTTTCTTCACCCAGTGCTCAGTCAACCTGTGGAACTCCTTGCCAGAGGATCTTGTGAAGACCTGGCCTTTAACAGGGCTCAAAAAAAAGCTAGATAAATTCATGGAGAATAGATGCATCAGTGGCTATTAGCCAGGGTGGATAGGAATGGTGTCCCTAGCCTTTTTGTTAGAAGCTGGGAATGTGTGACAGAGAAGGGATCACTTGATGATTCCCTGTTCTGTTCATTTCCTCTGGGGCACCTGGCATTGGCCACTGTCGTGGGACAGGATACAGAGCTAGATGGAGCCTTGGTCTGTCCCAGTCTGGCCGTTCTTATGAGCTGAGCTTTGAACAAGGATTCCTGGAAAGGTCTTTGTGCATGTTCTTTAGTGGTAGTGTTACATCCTTTTACATCAGTGCGTAGGTCAGAGTTAGAGCCTTGGATGAGTGAAAGAAGACCCCCGGAGTCTGGGCAGAGTTCAGGGGGTCTATTGAGAGAGCATTCGATTGGGCCTCAGCAGACCAAAGTTGCAGCCCCAGCTGCATGGGAGACCTTTCCTGCCTCAGTTTCCCCACAGCTCAAACGGCCATGGGGTTAATGACCTCCTTGGGCTTGGGCCGTGAGATGGCTGGATGCAAAGTCCTACGTAAGCGCTGGATGTTACCAGGAAATTGCACCTGTTCCCTGAAGTTTCAAAAGCCCCATTCTCCTGGGGCGTAACTCCTTGGCAGCTGGTGGGACTACTCCTGGAATGCCCCTAACCCTGAGGGAAACCCCTCCTGGCGGATCAGAACGGAAGCTGCGTGCTTTGCCTGGGCCTCTGCTGCTTGGAAACACAAAAGGGTTGAGGGTCCATTGGAACAGGCAATCAAACTTTCCACTGGCCCTCCCAGCTGTGGGGTCCTGTCAGTTAAAGGGGGCAAGGACTTGACATAGGCAGGGAGACCTGTCCACCATGTGTGGGGATCATGGCTCAGACCTAAACCTCCTCTTGGTGCTGCAGGTGCAAATGCCAGATCAAGGGCAGACTGACAACTCTGTGCTTCCTTCTACCCCACAAGAGAAAACACCCCCTACTGTTGGGCTGTGTCAGGCTTAACTAAGGGGTACGGCGTGAGCAGACCTTGCTTCTATTGACTTATAGGCTTGCTTTGATCCCTCCCTTCCTGCTTGCTCAGGGTTGATACGCAAACAGCTGTACCAAGGATGTCGCTTTTAATGGATGCTCTGTGTGTTAACAATGCTGCCTTCCTTCCCCCCTTCTCTGCTCCCATTGGCTCTGAAATCTACATTCAGGGTCACATCTCCTTTCCCCCTTGTATCTTGCTGATGTCAAGAGCTTTGTGATGCGAGAACCGCCCAAAAAGCTGTAAACAGGGGCAGGTTTAATTATTTTCATCACATGGATATGATTATACATGTTAAGGGTGTTCTCGTTCTTAAATTAGGGTTTGCAGGGTGATGTAATTGAGTTGCATATTTACATACCAATGATGATACAAAAGTGTGCCCAGGATCAGTTTGTGATTCACTTGGATCCTAAGTTTTGAGGGTGGCCAAGGCAGAAGGAGTATCTCCAATAAAGGAGCCTGCTACCCCATCCACTTCAGGGTCACCTGCTCTTCTCTGTGCTTACACCTAGACTATGTTCTTCTTTCAAAAGGAGATATGCAAATTCAGTGCTAATTTGCATATCTTTTTTCGAAAGCTTTTTTTTTCGAAAACGAAAGCTGTTTAGATGAAAGTCTTTTGAAAAAAACCCCACCCCTTTTTCGAAAGAACCCTGCACACTTCATTTTTTGAGGAAGGGTTCTTTCGAAAAAGGGATGGGTGTTTGGTTTTTTTTTAAAGAACCGCATCTAATCTGCTTTCTTTTTCAAAAAATACGCTTTCAAAAAAGCAATCAGAAGAAGATATGCAAATTAGCACTGAATTTGCATATCTCCTTTTGGAAGAAGAATGCAGTCTAGATGTACCCTTAATCTACACTGCACGATTATTTCGGAGTCAGCTATTCCAGAAGAAATACTCCAAAATAGCTTGTTCTGAAATAGCACGTCTACACTACAGGAAAGCCTGGAAATTAGTAGGAGGCAGGCTCCCCGAATGTGGATGTGCTACCTCGATTTAGAGCCCCAGGAGATACTGGAGAGTAATTACTGTGAATGGCGCTGGAGAGGAGCTGTTTCGAAATAACAGCAGTAGAGCATCCACACCAGTGGTCCCCAACGCGGTGTCCGCAGGCGCCATGGTGCCCGCCGGGGCATTTATGTACGCCCACCGAAACATCTGGGCTGGCCCTGCCCCCAGCGCGTGGCACATGCATGGTGCCGGCCTCAGGTGCAGGGCATGTGGGTGGTCCCTGCTCTGGACTCGCGGCGCATGCATAGCCCCGCTCCTGGAAGCGTGGCGCGTGAGTGGCCCCGCCCCCGAACGCCCGGCACGTAAGCAGCCCCGGCTCTAGGTGCCCGGCAACCACAATAGGTTGGGGACCACTAATCCACACGACTGTATTTCCGAAATAGCTATATCAGAAGAGGAATTATTCCTCGTGGAATGAGGTTTATAAACACTGCAATAAGCCACCCGCTATTTCAAAATGATTTCAAAATAATGGGCTTGCTGTGTAGACGCTTGCATAGTTATTTATTCCGAAATAACGCTGCTGTGTAGATTTACCCTAACACATACTAAGGAAAATCTCCATGCTGTTGGGTAACCAGAGAATAGGCTTAGTTCAGGGGAAACAAAGAACAATGAACAAATTTCACTGAAGGGAGAAAATGGAATTGGTCAAGAAATGTGGTATTTTTTTGTTTGCTCCACACACACACTTTGATTAATTTTGACACAATGAACAAAACAGGGGAGAGGGAGGTTGCCTCCTGCATTATTAGTGCAGAATGCTGACCAGAAAAATCACAAGGCTGCAAAACTGTTCAATTGAAAAAATGCAAATAGGCAAAACCAAATTGGCTTATGATGTAGCAGATGTTGCTTGCTTCCTGTATACGTATCAACCACTGTAAAAATGTTTTTCTTTTGTAGTTGTTATGTTGAGCATAACTATGGAGATTAACACAGTCTATGCAACACTGACTCATTGGTTTACTGAGTATTTGGTTTTGAATAATCAACCAAAGAACACTTCAAGGAACACTTCATTAGTCACTGGACTTCTGTGCCCACTAAAGCTCATGATACCAACTACATGTTTGGTTAGTCTCTAAGGTGCTGTAAGACTATTTGTTGTTTTTGAAGTTTTTCCTCTTACAGACTATCTTGGCTCCCCCTCAGAAGCTTTGGAACACTCAAGAAACTTTAGTGTAGTCAAAAATCCAATTTTCCATTAAAAAGAAGTTTGGATGCAAATTTTTGGGCAACCCAACTAACAATCATCTAAAAAATATTGTGCTTCTCCTTAAAAACTAACAAAAGAAATAACACAGCCCTGGTACAGACTGAGGCTTCATTGCAATTTCTCATGTAGGCCAAATAAACAGGCATGGCTGACTAAGGACTGCAATTTTTAAGTTGATGCAACGTATTTGCATCTAGTTTACTTCTAGGATCCAGATCTCAGTGGGGCAATGCCTCGTCTGGAAGGAACAGTTTCATTTCTCTAGCCCAGCTAGTTTTTCCTGTCCCTACTGCCACGTCTCTCCTGGGACTTGGGAGATTTGTATCAGTTCTAGGGCAGGGACCAATTGTCTTTGGAAAGATGGGAAAGGAAAAATCAGAATCTCCCTTATTTGGAGCCGGATGCGTCTTTCCCTGTGTCTTAGGGTCAGTGGTTTTCATCCTACGGGTCACACCCAGTGCTGGGTCATGGAATGTCAGGGGCTGTGTTTGCCCTGCTGTGGGGAGAGCCAGATGACCAGTGTGGGTGCTTAGGCAGGTTCCTTTCTGGGGTACAGCATGGTCCCACAGTGTCAGGACAGGCAGGAAGCCTAACTTAGCACCCCCACTGCATTGCTGACCAGAAGCAGTCAGAGGTAAACCTTCAACTCACCCTGCTCCCCAATCCCCTGACTAGCCCTTAGCCCCTTCCCCCAACCCAGAGCCCCTTCCTGTTCCCCATACTCCTCATCTCCAGCCCTGCCACGGAGCCTGTCCTCTAATCCAAAGATATTATTTTGTTGGGTCATGGGCATCAATCATTTTCTTCAACAGGGTCACAAGAAAAAAAATGTAAACCCACTGTCTTAGTGAACCCACAGGAACCAGTGTTCCTTGTAAGCTGAGCACTAGGATAGCCACCCAGGAGAGAATCAAATGCCACCCAGTTGATTAGCAGAGCTCCCACAGTGTTTCAATGGGTGGTGCACATCTTCATGTGCCTTAGTGCACACAACAAAAGTTATTCCAGGTGTGAATGGAAAAAATTAAAGGAAATCTTGCCAGGGACTAGAACTGGATGAAATTTTTTTTAAAAGGCTGCACTAAAAAAGACATTTCCCAGTTATTTGCATTTCTAGGCAGTGTAGACACAGCCAGTCTACACTGGCATGAATTTCCGGAAATGCTTAAAACGGAATACTATTCCGTTTTCAGTTTTTCCGGAAAAGGAGCATCTACATTGGCAGGCTGCTTTTCCAGAAAAGCCCTTTTTCCGGAAAAGCGTCTGTGGCCAGTGTAGACACGTTTTTCCGGAAAAGAACCCCGATCGCCATTTTCGCGATCGGGGCTTTTTTCCAGAAAAGACTACTGGGCTGTCTATACTGGCCCTTTTCCAGAACAGTGTTCCGGAATAAGGACTTATGCCCGAGCGGGAGCAGAATAGTTTTTCCGGAATAGCGGCTGATTTTGTACAGTAGAGCGTCGTTGCTTTTCCGGAAATTCAAGGGCCAGTGTAGACAGCTCGCAGCTAATTCCGGAAAAGCGGCTGATTTTCCAGAATAAGTGGCCCAGTGTAGACACAGCCAAAGTGTTTGAAAAGACCTGTGTATATAATTTTTTTCTCTCACAGAAACTTTACTGAAAATAATTGAGATCCAATAAAGAGTGTGAGCAGTAAATTCTGCAAAATCAGGGATATTTCTGTCAAACACAGAAAAGAGAGTGAAGGGACTTACACATAGAACAATATGACATGAGACCTTTTAAATCAAATTTCCCCCACGAGATGCACACTGGGTATGTTTTATTCTTTTGTATCACAAGAGTTTCCCATTCACTCACTTCACTCTTGTTTCATGCCCCTATTATTTCTGGTGCATGCCCTCCCTGCCTGTTGGCTCTTTTCCCTAATTGCTTAAGAAAGCCACAGGACATAAATCCTGCCTTTATCCTGTATTTTTCGTGTACGTTAGCCTTTCTATCATACATTGGGGTGGTCAGTGAAAAGGGGAAAAAGTCCGGATTGGGACTTTCAAGCATCTGCAGTATTTGGATTTGCTTTGGATTAAAAATAAATATGGAAACCAGCCAAACAGAGCCCCAACGTGTTAACCTCTTAATAAAAACACATCAGGAAAAGACCCTCTGCCTCTCAACAAACATTTAGAGACAAGTTTAGACAGCAAATCGATGACAAAGAAGCACAAGGTAACTGAAAGAGTTTTCATGCTGCCTGGCTCACTGGCTCATGTTTATGATGATGGGGTTTATTAATGTGGTTACAGCTATTCTCTTAAAAGTATATTGACATTTTTGAATCCTAACTGGGCTTTTTTGGGTTTTAGCCAAAAAGAGTTGAAAAATCAAACATCTAAAAACTAAAATATAGAAAGTGAAAAATGTCAATGTGGAAATACTATTGTGGTACCAGATGGAGCAGCCCAGAGGGAGACTGGTTGTTTGGGTGTGGGGTGGGGGGAAATTTTGAATTAGGTGGGTCTCTCATCCCTCAGCTGGAGTCCCTGACCCGGCACCTCATTGCCCCTGCAGCTAGAAGTTCCGCAGGTCTCTGATCCATTAGCTTCACATTTGAGAGACCTGATGGAAAACTAGCTTAGCTGGAGACTGCCCCCTCTAGTCTTTGTGTCTCCTCTGCTGGATCTGATTGGAAACTTACCATATTGTCACCAGATCACTTTTTCTCCCCTATATACCTGTTTGCATTTTGCCTCTCAGACAATCCCCTAGGCAAGTGCTTACGTTTGCTCCACCCAGAAGCCCCGTAATCTCTTTTGTGGAGAACTTTCCTCCCAGAGAGTGAAACAGATAACACTCATTTGTCATGCATGCCCAGTGAATCATTATCAGGCTGAGCAACCTACATCTTCACAGTGAGACTGATCTTTTCTAGCTATATGATTGTATATTCTCAATTTTTTTAAAGGAAGAATGCTACATTTAAATTGTTCTATTGTTTAAATTAAAACTAGCACCAGTGAAGGTCTGATGTCAAGTCAAAAATCTGGGAAAGTGAGGGGGAAAGTATCCAGAAAAGACAGAAAATAAAAAGGGATTTGAAACCTGGACGCCTACAGTTAAATTCCTAAGTACATAAGTAAACTCCAAAAACAAGTTCTAAGTTATCAGCAGAACCTATTAATTCATGTCAGTAGTAGCTGCTGGGCGGTTATTGTGATTTTTAGATCAGAACACTTCCAGGCACCTAGGAATAGATTTAGAAACCAAGTTCAGTCTCATAGACAGTGTTTCTCAACCAGTGGTACGAGCAGGATCAGCCCGAGCCATTTGTGCACCCCTGGCCCCGGGAGCGCAGCACCGCCCCCGGGAGTGCAACACATGCACGGCCCCGCCCCCAGATGTGTGGCGTCCCCCGCCCCCAGGCTCCCAGCACATGTGCGGCCCCGCCCTGGGCGCACTTTTTACACCCAAAATTTTAATCACCCACCTGGCTACAATTAAGTTGTTTAAACAAATGTATTGCAACGGTAGAAAAAAATTTATGTGTCTGAAAACTGTAGGTACTGGGGGTATTTATAATTTTTTAAAGGGGTATTTTATTTAAAAAGAAAAAGGTTGAGAAACACTGAATTAGACTAACTGATTTCCCCCCCCTCCCCCGCCCCAACAAGTTAAGTGTTTAATAAACGATAGCAGTGACTGAAATAAAAAAAAAATCCATTCTTTCATCCCTACGAAAGAAGTGGTGTGGATCTTTTGTACACATGGCAAGTGCTGCAGATCAAAATATAGATGAGATTACCTGTCAAAGTGAAACTTGTGTACCCAGAGGCAAAAAAATCAGTGATCAGAATTGCACTGAAATGGCTCTTGTTGAATCTATGATTCATATGGGAAAAGTGAAAGTACAATGATTTTTAAAACCTGGGAAGGTAAGCTAACTTCTAACCCACTGGCCATGGAATGGAAATGTTAATAGCAAGTATTCTAACTTTCACAAATCTTTGGGATCCTAAAGGATCAAACTGCTTTGTTAAGGGTGGGATAATCTAAGAAGAAAGAAGACAACTTTTGAGAGGACACTAGATTCTAGAATTTATGCTCCTTTCTCAGTGGTGAATGGTGAATAAAAGGAACCCTCATGCAGAAGAGAAACTTGAATTCTCTCCATTTTCTCAAATGGCACTTTGCCACTGTTTGAAAGAAACTGCATGAATAAGTGGTAGTGTGGAGGAGTGTTTCCCCTACTTGCATTGCTCCTCAATTCTCCAAAAATGACTCCCTCTGTTATGAAAAGCCGTCCTAGAGTGAAAAGTATAATGCTATGGCCTGTGGGGTTGCCAGTTCCAAACAGATCTTAGACAAAAGTCTGTCAGTAGGATAGGGTACAAAAACACACCAAATTTTACAGGGGGGGGGGGGCAGGAAACGGTCACTGCTGTTCGATTGGTTTCCCATCTGAGCCAATGAAAAGGTGACTAATGGGATCCTTGGTTTGCATAAAAGTAACAGAGGCGTTCCATATTCGAATGGCGGGAGGAGGCCTAGAAAAGGGGCGGGGAAGGGAGAAAAACTCAGTCTTCATTCAGGTCGGACACCAGTCTATATAAAGAAGAACTCCAGCGTTATCTGCGCTAATCGCGGCGAGAGAAGAGGGTCGGTCGAGATGTCTACGCGGGTGCCGAAGAAAGGTGGCAAGAAGCTGATTGGCGAGGGCGCGAAGAAAGTGGATAAAAAGCGTAAGAAGAGCCGCAAGGAGTCTTACTCCATTTACGTCTACAAGGTGCTGAAGCAGGTGCATCCAGACACGGGTATTTCTTCTAAGGCCATGAGCATCATGAATTCTTTCGTGAGCGATCTCTTCGAGCGCATTGCTGCCGAGGCGTCACGCTTGGCTTTGTACAACAAGCGATCGACCATCAGTTCGCGAGAAATCCAGACCGCCGTGCGCCTGCTGCTGCCCGGGGAGTTGGCCAAGCACGCGGTGTCGGAAGGCACAAAGGCTGTCACCAAATACACCAGCTCGAAGTAAAATGCAAAGAGGAGAGGCAATGTCGTCAACTACACTGAATACACCAGCTCGAAGTAAAATGCAAAGAGAGGCAATAGCGTCAACTACACTGAAACCAACGGCCCTTTTAAGGGCCACCCACTTGTCCTTAAAAGAACTGCTCATTATGGTTTAGCATCTTAATGAGCAATTTAAATGCTCATGTTTATTTTCCGGCCTGAACGACATGGAAAGAAGCCCTTAGACTTATTATTAAACGTAAATAAAAATCCACAGAAACAGGCAGGTTTGCTTATAAAAGACGCTTATAGCCTATATGTTAATTTGTACACAAAATGCAGTGATGCCTTTAATACTAAAATAACAGGAATTCAAGCACAGCTGGGGCGGGGATAAAAACACTTGGTTAGTCGTTTGTGAATAGTGTAGACTTATGACAAGGTGTTAAACGAGCAAAAGTAAGACTTGGAGACCAAAGAATCCTCCGTTTTTCAAAACCTGGCATTACGGGGAAGCCAGCAGCCCCAAGGTTCTAAGAAAGCAAACGCAAAATCCTAAATTAAAGGGGGGGAAGGAATAACATGTAAACTAAGCTACTTTTTGTCTTTCCAAGTAATCTAAAGTATCCGGGTTCTTATCTCTCGCAAACCCTTCCGGGCTTTGGGGTGGTAAATAAAACTCGCTGATAGAATGTGTTTTTCCAAATAAACGGGGCCCGTTTTCACTCTGTAAAAAAATACCTTCAGCAAACCAGGAGCTGTTGCTCGTCTGTGGGGCTAGCGGGGGAGCCCGGGCGTAAACACAGTGCTCAGGCAGCTACCTGCTTGTAAATCCATGTTTAAGGAGCAGACCACTCGGAAATTACAAGGAAGCGCGGTACAAGATCCCCTTATTGCCTTTCCAGCAGCGAGCCTGCGTGAAAACCGCCGCTAACAGAAATATACAGAGCGGCTGGTGGCTCTTGCTGGCGACTAGTATCTAATGGGAAAAGGGGCTGCATTGTGAAAATCTCTTTCCAGACCCGTGTGGAATTTGATTTTAAATTAGAGTTTCCACAGGTCCGGACACAACCCTTATTTTTCTTGTCACTTGTTTACTTCTGATTTTTCACACTTGTTCCCTTCACGGAGAAAGCCTCGTTATATTTAAAAGGGGGGGGAGAGAAGACCTAAAAGCCTTGTTCTGGTTTGCTAGAGCACCGGCTATTTTTCGTTGAAATCCAGGGGAGGCTTGCTAGATCAGAAGGCAGTATTTGGGCCTCAACAATGCACAGGAAACATCAGGGCCATTATGCTTAAAGCTCTTCTGGGAATGGTTTAAGGTGGCTCTTAAAAGAGCCGTTTTGTTGTGTCGTTGCGGCGAATTAACAGACGTGTTAAGTTTTCCGCTTGGAGCAGCGAGCAGAGGAGGCCGCGGTTTTCCCCGCTCCTTTGCCTTCGGCCACGCTCCTCATTTTCCCGGGGTCCTTTTTTGGCCCCACGTGTAGGTTTTTCTTCTTGACCTTTCTAGCGTCTGGGTTGGCAGGGGGCCTGGTATCCACCTGTCTCTTTTGCTTCGGCGGCTTCTTGGTCTTGGGCAGCTGCAGAGCGAGCTGCGTTTTGCCGATCGCTGGGTCCTTGCAGAGCTTGTAGGAGCCGGGAGCCCCGGTCACTCCGGGCACCTTGCACAGGATGTTGTTGGTGACAAGCTTCTTGAGCGCCGCTTTAATGCGGCTTTTGTTCCTCTGGACGTCGACCCCCGTCGCGACCAGCTCCTTCTCGATGTCCGCCAGGGAGAAGCCCTTGCGGTTCTTGGAGAAGTCCACGCTCCACAGGATGAGCTGGGCGAAAGCCGGCCGCTGTCTTCGGGGCGGCTTCTTTTTTCTCTTTTTCTTTTGGCTGGCTGGGGCTGCAGATGCCGCGGGAGCCGCGCCCGGTTGCGCTGCATTCATCGCAACGCAAAGGGGGCGCAGTTTCTCCGGACGCCAGCAATTCCCGCTTCTTTTTCTTTAGAAGCCAATTGGCTCTTCACTGCCAGGCGCTTCAAGCGGAGCCGCTCTCGCCCCCTTACGCCACCCACTGGAAGCCAGAGCTGCTGCACGCTGCTAATATAGCCTAGACCCCGACGCAACCGAATCAACCTCCCGGCCCTCCTGCCTCTGCATCTCTGACCCTGGCTCTCCTCGAAAAGTTGTGTCTGCAACACCGAAATCCCAAGAGCCACCCGAGGCCTCCCGTTATTCCACTGCAGCCAGGCATCTTGATCCGAGCCGGAAGGATCTAGCCTTGATCCTAAAGAATGACTAATCTCTTGCTTGGGAGGAAGGTGAAGGAGGAAGAAGGAAAAAAAAAATCAGAGCTTTGCGCACACCCTCATTTCTGCGCTCAGACTGGACCAGTATTTGGGAAAGAGAATGGAAATGAATTAACAAGTAAATCGATTTATGAAGGAATTCAATAGATGATTTGGTGCGGGGAGGAATTGTTTCTAAACGGAGCGGGTGAATTTATCCCCATGATTATCAGGGATCCAACCCCATGTTCTAGAGGTCCCTAAACTCTGGATGCCAGATGCTGGGACTAGAGGACAAGCGATAGATCACAAGGCAAGTGCCTTGTTCTGTTCATGCCTGCTGAAACACCGGGCACAGGCCTTTTCAGCTGTTTGTGTTGACAGTAGAGCGTAAATAGAGCAAAAGAAAGAAAAGAGGCTCTCTCATTGGTTTATTTAGAATCCTCATTCTCACTGGGTCAGCGGAGCTGTACTCCTATCAGCCAATCAGGATGGAGGAATTGCTCAGCTCTAGGGTTATAGTAAAAACACTGAAATATTCTATTTTGTTGAGATAAAAAAAGAATATAGAAGGTATTTTATGGCTGGTTGGGAGGAAAGGAAATTGCATAGGTAAAGTCTTGTTCATTTTGGGTGGAGCTATACGTTTTCTGTGGTTAGGCTGTATAAGCTGCTACCTGAAGAGTTGCAGAAACTTTGCCTGTTGATAATTTGGTTTGTTGTATTGAAATATCTGAGGACTAAGAACTTTTTATGGGGAGAGGAGTCCTGGGGAGCCTGAGAAGAGCCAAACTGTGCTGTGCCATCTATGGCTCTAGAAAGACTGAAGACCTGAACAAGCTGTTGAGAGGTTTTCCTCTTGTGGGGTCTTGCACTGAGTACTAAGGCAGTGTTTTATGTGAGAAAGCACCACCTAGCAACAATAATTACTAATGCCAAATATAATATCAGAGGTTACTATTGGTAGAAGGAATCAGGAACGCAGAAGTCTCCTGCTTGCTATGCAGGGTGCGGGAAGAAAGGAGGGTGCTGATGTCACGGTGCCCCTCCCCCTACCCTATGCCCCAACTACACAGAGTGGCAGGGATGGAGAGAGTTTGCTGATTGCTTTTGGGAGTGGTGCAGGGCCAGGGTGAGCCTGCCTTAGCCCCCTGCACCACCACCCAGTAGCTACCTAAGCCGTACCCAGCTGAAGCCTGCATTCCGAACCCTGGCCCCAGTCCTGAACCCCTCCTGCCCCCCAAACTGCTGCCCTAGCCCTGAGTCCCCCTGCACCCAACATTCCCCCCCCTTGCACCTCAACTTCCTGCCCCAGACTCAGCTCAGAGCCCCTCCCACACTCCAAACCCTTTAGCCCAAGACCAGAGCCTGCATCCCCCACAACCCAGCCCTTTGCCCCGCCCCCCCAGCCTGATCGAAGTGAGTGAGGATGGGGAAGGATGAAGTAAGGGGACGGGGACGCAACTGCGTTTGGGTTTGAGGTAGATCCTGGATCGCACTTCAATTAAAAAAGGTGATCTCGTGCTTAAAAAGGCGGGAGACCCCTGCTTTGGTGCTTTCAAACGCAGTGACTTTACCAGGGTCCAAGGCAGTTGCTAACGAGCAGTACCAGGCCTAAAGGGGATGTCTCCCTACGGCCCTGCGGCCAAACCGATTGTTCCCAAAACAAAGGAGGCATGATAAACGGATGCAACCGTTTCGAATCCTGCACCTTGTAGAGCCCAACCGCGTAAAATGGATTCCGCTTTGCTTTGTAGTGCTGCTGCTTCCGAGAGCGGGAAGCTAACTTTTTTCCCCGCCCTTTTTAGTGTCGTTAAAACACCCTAAACAATAAAGAAACAAGCCACGAGTGTTTGTTTGTTTGTGGAGGGTGTGCGTGGTGAAAAGCAGCTGTCCCCACCTTCCCCGCCCCCAGCAACTATCCAATCTTTCACTGCTTCCTCCAGCCAGCACACGCTGAGGTCCCAGCAGTTTGTCTTCTCATTGGTTTATTTAACACCCCTCCCCCGGATCCTCTTCCTTCTTCCCTCCCTCCCAGCGGGTTTTCTCCGATTACCCAAGCCCGCTGTCAAAAAAAAAAATCAGAGTGGAAATCAGATACATCTCACGTTTTTATAGCGATCGAAATTTTAACATCGCAATGACAAAGCTGCGACGTGTCTAGCGTAACGGGAGAGCAATGATAAAATACTACTTATACTGCTGGTAAGGGAGCTCAAATTTTAGTCACGATCTAATGATAAAATACTACTTATACTGCTGGTAAGGGAGCTCAAATTTTATTCCGAGTCCCACTCACGATCAGTGTCCATCCTTTCAGCGAAAAATAGGGAGTTTTTACTAATCCACAACACACGCACCAAAGACACTCCCCCACCCCCAAAGCATTGCGCAGTTAAAGCTGTAAGGATTTCTTGCTTATCAAACATCCTTAAATAAATAAAATCGTTCTCTTCTATAAAACCTGTGCGTGACTCTTCAAACAATTTAGTGCCCCTGAGGTAGGGCGATCCTTGCTCTCCTCTCTGAGCACAAGGTATTAGCAGGTCTTTTCACAACTTTAAAAGTTTTACTTCTGGGCTATTGTTTAGCGGTTTTCTTAGCCACCATTAGATTCATGGAGAAAAAGTGATTTTACCCACAAAAGTTTATGTTCTAGATTCATGGAGAAAAAGTGATTTTACCCACATGAGCTTATGTTAAAATTAATCTATTAGTCTTCAAGGTGCCACAGGACTGCTCCTTGTTTGTACTCGAGACCAACAGCTAACTATACTAAGGCACCAGCTCCAATACCAGCACCAAATAGCCCTTACTGCACAATTTCCGTACCCTCTCCGCAACCACACCCAAGAATAATAGGAGAGTGTTAGTCGGTACATTCCCACAAGTAAGCCTCTCAGAACAACATAGGGCCTCGATATAGGAAAATTGAAGAACAAGTCTACGAGTTATCCTTTTATAGCCTTGGACTAGAAGCATTCTCCACTCTTGATTGGCTAGTCGGAGACACCTTCCCCCCCGGAACCAATGGGAGCGAGGGTCCCTAAGAGTACCACTGAGAGACCCTAGTTCTTTCATCCTTGTTTAGCACTGACACGCTCCACATAAGGAAGTCATGTAACGGGAAAGGTGGCTCTGAAAACTCAGTGACCAGAAAAGGAAGGCATATTTTTTACACTCAGCTAGGGACAATTCTGTCACTCATTCAGCACATCCACGTGCAGTTCATATTTATGTAGTTTAGCCATTAATTAACTTTGTTGCCATTCTAATTGTTAACTCCAATTAACTCCAATGTAACAAGTCCAAGTGCTAGAGTTTAAATTAGGTTGTTCACCCCCATTTCCCTTCCAGTTTTGCAATCAGTAATATCACAGCCTGTATTTTCTTCCTCTTAAAACAATTCCTAGTGCTAGAGTTTAAATTAGGTTGTTCATCCCCATTTCCCTTCCAGTCTTGCAATCAGTAATATCACAACCTGTATTTTCTCCCTCTTAAAACAATTCCGAAATCTTGCAAGAGAGAACGTCACTGAGTGAGATGGTCCTTTGGGTATTTACAGACAAATGTTGTTTAGCTAAATAGCGGGAGCTGATAGAAAATGGAAGGGAGTATTTAAAAGGGGCTACCAACCCAGATCAGAGAAATGCATTTGTAAAGGATGTCATATAGATTATTTTAATTTTGGTGACTCTCAATGAATCGGGTGAAAAAATGCTCCTTTCATTCTTCCTGCCATTAAAACACCCCCTGCAAAAATACGTTCTTAGAAGAAGTTTAGGAGAGACACCTGAGACTTTTAAAAATTAGCAACAAATGTAATAAATTATGATTTAATTGCTAACCATATGAACAATCAAGCATGCAACTGACAAGAGTTACCAACCTAAAAAGTATAGAAACAGTACTTCCTCCTTCCTTTATTCAAACAAAACCGCAAATTATCAAAATGGCAGCAACAACAACAAAAACTAGCTCTTGATGAAAGATTTGCTGAGGGCCTTACTAGTTATTTAAAAACTGCTAATGCCTCATCCTCTCCTATACAAGAATATAAACCAATAGAAAGATCTTTTATTCCAATAGGAATGACGTAGTTTGATTCCACTGTCTTCCCAAGCAACTAGAGAATGTGGATGTGTTTTTAAACTTTTTAAATAAGATAGTACCAGAAAAAATAAGTTAAATACTTTGCTCCTTGACTCTGCCTCGCACCCTCAGCCTGTCCCAGTAAAATCCAGAGGGGGCAGCTGTAGGGAGTATCGTTTTAATTTTACAACAAACACGAATTCTCTTGGGAACAGAGGAGCCAAATGGGCGGGCGCAGCTCAATTTTGTGACATAAAAGACAGACACTGGTTAATATGTCGGATCACTCCAGCAGAGGAAGCAGCCCGGTGTCCTCGAGCGGGCAGGGCTAAAGAATTGTGCAAATCCGCGCTAGGCCTTGTTCAGGGGCAACACGATTGGGACAGAAGAAACACAGGCCGAGAGGGGAGGCAGCAGGGAATTGATTCGGCTGCGTCGGGCTTTGCTCTCTATCTGGTCCGGATCGGCGGCCGCCCGGCTCAGTGTGAAGGCGGCGGCTCCCAGCCCGGTGTCCTCGAGCGGGCAGGGCTAAAGAATTGTGCAAATCCGCGCTAGGCCTTGTTCAGGGGCAACACGATTGGGACAGAAGAAACACAGGCCGAGAGGGGAGGCAGCAGGGAATTGATTCGGCTGCGTCGGGCTTTGCTCTCTATCTGGTCCGGATCGGCGGCCGCCCGGCTCAGTGTGAAGGCGGCGGCTCCACGTGAGGATCTCAGGGCCAGCAGCGGGGACTGATTCGCAGGGGCATGCCGGGTTCGCTTCCTCTTCCCGCGACTTCTGCAGCCTCTCCCGTAACTG